GTTCACATCATCTCTGGACAAAACGGTGAATGCATGGGCGTATGAAGACGGTGAACTGAAGGTCGTACATTCCCATCGGGAAGAAGATGGCGTCGTTAAACTCAGTGGGTTGCAGCAGGATGCAGAAACCGACCCTACTCTGTTCTGTTGTCTTAAGGACAACTCTGTTCGACTGTACGACTTGCCGTCTTTTGCTGAGAAAGGAAGGATATGCTCCAAGAAAGAAGTGAAGGCAATGAAAACAGGGCCCGGTAGTCTGTTCTTCACCGGAGATGGGACAGGCAAGGTGACTGTTTGGAACTATTTTGGAGAGCCAAGTAAGGCGGCGGCTGCTTGATTTAATTAAAAGAAATTGTAGCACCCAATTTTGCAACATTAATTGTTTCCAATTGTAATTACTGCTAAGTACTTTGCCTATTCACTTGATGCAATCCTTCCAGAAATATATATTCATGATGAGGAATTATTCAGTTATATTTCTTGTTCCTGTTTGGCTCTTTTATATACCCTTTTCAGTTAGCTTCAATATTACAATATGAGATAGCAATTTCCTTTTCTAAATCACTTTTTGCACATTTAAAATAACATGTTTTATAAAGCAATATCAGATGATCATGTAAAGAGAGAAACATAAACAAAATACAACTCACATTATGTTGCCCACAGCAAACATGATATTGGACTCTCTTCATCTAACCAGAACTCATATGAGTTGTTACTTGTATGTGTATTCAGACCTTCTGGAGCTTTTCCTCTCCAATGATCCACTTGGTTAGCTGACATGGGTCTCCAAACGATCTGCATGACTTATGAATAATCCCCAGGTCAGCAACGATTAGATCATATGCCTTGAAAGCTGCTATCATCTCTGCTTCAACAGGAGCAGGATCCACAATGTCAATCATGTTCATGCGTAGGACCTCAGCATGGTGCTTCTCTCTCTCAAAATCATCTTGGAAGGGTTCCATTTCCGCCTCCTGCTCATTCAAACATTTACATGAAACAAATATATAAAAAGCAGAAATAAAACGCTGCCACATATTTGTTGTTCTTTAAATCTAATTTAGTTGCGTGGAAATTGAACTAATTAAACAAAACAATAACATGAGACTTGTTGGATTCAGTATATTTGCAATCATAGACAGGATATCAGAAGAAACATTTTATGCTAATAATACTTTAGTTAATTTACTTTGCTTTATCAGACAGATAATTAACTTTACCAGAAATAATTCAGCATAATCCTTAAAAGTTTTATTGTTTTTATCCTGATCACGAGGAAGTGTTTCACCACACCAACCATTGCTTTCATTACCAGACGTCATTGAGAGGTACCTTGAAAAGCAAGAAACCCAACTGAATTTTAAATACAATGTAAAGCTATAGAAGCAACTTTATGCGGTGGTCAAGAACCAAAGGCTAAGAGAAAGAATACAAGGAAATGGTAGCAGAAATCAATGTCATGATTTGGAATTGACAATGTGTCCTCTAGTGTGTTTATGTTGTAGTATATGTGTATGCCCATGCACAGATATAGATGCATGCATGCATGCATGAAGTATCTGCTAGATTGGCTGAGGCCAATCTTAGAATTTCCAGGCTGAATCATGCTAGGAAAAATGAGCTAAATTCCAGGCCTCACCTCATCATAAGCCTACTAAGGGGCTAGCCCAACAAATTAAGTGGAACCATAATATGGTTCCACAAAATCAAAGAAAAGCATGTCTATTTATCCTGCAAAAGAAGAATGGCTTTCTTAGAAAATACTTCTGGAAGAAATCTTGTTCATCTATATCACTGTATGAAGAAGACCAGTTAGTTGGGATTTTTTATCAAAGAAAATGGAGAGAATATCGGAAGAAAAAGATGAAGAGCAGAACACATAAAATGGAGAGAAATATATCACTCCAACTCGAGAGAAAAAGGTCGCCACAACAACAACCGCGGTTAATAATGAAACTCCGAGAAGGTTAAAATAAATAAATAATGAAAAAAATCTAGTGTTTTTATTTTTAAAGAAAAATCCTAGTTAATAGTGGATTGGGAGTCTACGATGAGAGAGAGAGGAAGGACAAAAGCTTGGGATCGGAAAAGCAGATATCAAACATGGGATGGTCGGACAGCGCTGGACAGAGAGGCGGCGCGACTACAAGGGAGAAGCAGCTACACAAGGAGATCAGATACAGGAGGATACGTGGGACATCGCAGGCAGCAAAAGACGATGGGAGATTGGGGTTACGATAAGGGGGTGTACAGACAGGCAACAGCCTTCTTCTTTACTAATTTCCCTGAGGAGTGGAGTTACACAGATATGTGGTCAACCTTTCGCAGGTTCGGAAGAGTGATAGCAATTTACAGCCCGTTGAAAAGAAATAAGAGTGGGAGCAGATTCGGCTTTGTCAGGTTCTTGGATGTCAAGAACGAAAAGGAGCTGGAGAGACAACTAGATCAGATCCGGATTGAAGGTAGGAAAATATGGGTGAATGTGGCTAAGTATCCAGAGGAAAAAGTAGCAGTGAAGGAGATAAACAAAACCGCACCCATAGTTAACACTATCCAGAACAGATCGTATGCTGAAGTAGCTGGCGGGCATGTAGGAGTGAAGGAAAGGAAAACAGAGGGTATTCAAATACCACCACAACTACGAGACGTTCAAAGGAACCACAGGAAATCAGAAGGAAACGGGCAGCCGGTGAGGAGACAGACATGGAGAGTGAAAAGTAGAAGAGAGGAATGGTCCGGCTTTGAGTATGAAGTTAAAGACGAAGATTTTGAGTGGTTGCAGGGGTGTTATGTCGGGATAGCCCACTCTGTGGAAATTGTTCCAAATTTGCAGGAAAAGTTCTACATGGAAGGCTATTTCACATGCCGGCTACGTGCTATGGGAGGCAAGTTGGTTCTCATGGATTGTGAGGACAAGGGAGAACTTGTAGACTTAGTGCAGGGTGCATCAGATTGGTTAGGCCAGTGGTTTTCAGAGGTGAAGCCTTGGTCTCCAAAAGAGGTGGCAAAAGAGAGATTTGCATGGTTAAGATGCCAGGGAGCTCCACTACACGCATGGGGTCCAGATTTCTTTGAGAGAATGTCATCAGCTTGGGGCAAGTTTATTTGTTTGGACGATAGCACAAGCAATAAGAGGAGATTTGATATAGCAAGATTCCTCATCTCAACGCCAATCATGGATTCAATCTCAGTTAGGAGGCAAATCAAAGTGAATGGGGAATTATTCAGTTTAAAATTCTCCGAAGAGGAATGGTCCAATAGCCTCTTCTCACTGAAACAGGACTTCATCCCAAGGTTTGCGAGTGACTCGGAGATTGAAGAACATTGGTCTGAAGTAAGCGATTGGGCCGAAGGACAGTATGGTGGTAACCACGATGGTGAATGGAAACCTTCAGCCGGAGAAGATGAGGACAGAGAGGATGGCTGGGATGGCAGCTGGAGGCACAAAGGGTTGG